CTGAAACTGGAGGTCTTGAAGACAGGTCAGAACATCTATCAGTATGAAGCACTGGAGGGCTGGAGCAGACGGACTGACTAATCACACTTCTGAACTATGAAGCTATAGCTCCCATCTGAGGCACAGAAGTGCTAAGGTGAGGTGCAGCAGCAAAGTTGCACAGCAAGCGTAGCACAGGAAAACAAGAAGGTAAGCAGGAACCACGAATCCCATTATAGAAAAAGGTGAATGACTCGATCAGATGATCTATTACTGAGTAATTTATCTATCTCACCATGAAAGCATAGGTACAGTTCTATGTATTAAGAACTGAAAATCTCATTTGCCATATAAAACTGGACAACTGAGAGTTTTAAATTAGTTTTCTTACTTTTGGCTCAATTACCTCAAGCATTTATTTTCTGTTTCTTGTAGAAAAGGCTAAGCAAATGGTTTTAACAGAAACCTTTAAAATCTCCTGAGAGTGGTTTATTGTAGACCAACTGGGAAAAAAAAAAAAAAAACACCAAACAAAAAACCACACCTTCGCTCAAACTCAGTCCAGTAAATCATCCATCTCCAAATGAACTAACCTTACCTCCTACAAATGCCCAGTTAATAAAGTGGACGTAACTGAAACAGCACTGTATTCTAATCAAGCTCAAATGCAACAAATACTTTTTTTACCCTGCTTAACATTACTTACCCTGCTGAATCCAAGTTTCCATGGCTCATTCTTTAATATCTCATCCAACTTTGTTAGCATCTTGTCTTGAAAAAGTACTTCCTCACCATCCATACCACCGTTTTCTTCAGTTTTTCTTTGCCAACGCACCATATTCAACAGACAGCAAAAATGGCGTGGCAGAAGAATTGGCAAGAATTCCAGTATCATCGGAAAAGTCAGAGCTACCAGTACTGCCTTTCCTGCAACTACATGCATCATAAACCAAGAAAGTTTTAAGCAATATACAAAGACACTTGTAAAGGCAATTTAAACTGACTCTGGCTCTTATCCTTCTGCCTCTCCTACATCCAAAACACCCCTAATTTATTTCACCTTCTTATCTTTTGTAATCCTTTTCAACTTCTTTTAAAGATTATTTTCCCTGGACTTGGGGAAAAAAATGTAAATAGATGACAGATAAAAACTGCAACTATTCATTTGGAAAATACGTATTATCCCTTTGATTTGAACTGCCTACTCAATAGCATTTTGTAGAATATCAGTTCAGACATCGCCATGCCTGCCTCTCCTATCTGAAGATAATTTTCACACAGATGTACAGAACAACATCTAAAATCCAAAATAAGAACACAGGCTTCTAAATTTGTAGTATCAGATCAGTACAGGAACTCAGGAAAACAGTGTTCTCCACTGGCTCTCTCAATAACCCCAACTTCAGCTATCACGTTCTCTGTTTGTATCAGTCTTGGGATGTGCAAAAAGAGGATAACGAAACTGATTTGCTCTCCACCTTGCTTTAAAAACAAATTTAGAAGAAACTGAGACTTTTAAAAGTTTTATCTCTTCACAGAAAAAAAAAAAAAAAAAATTAATGGAGTGTTAAGGAAACTTCATAATTCCAAATTCAAAACATCCATTTTTCTCAGTTAAGTACTTTTCCCAATTATTGTCTTACCTATGGAAAGGCAAAGATGAAACTTTTTCCCTTTGAAGCAAATACTTAACATACAAGTGGAGAATCTACACACACTACACTTCTAGACAAAAGCATCATGAAGGCTGGAGTAACAAACTGCTGGAGACCACAACAATAACAACCAGGAAAAAGTGACAATAGTAACAGCATGATATACAGGGGGATGAGTCGCTGTTTCTATTGCCCCATGATAGAGAAAGAAGGTGGTTTAATTTATATCAAAGTCACTTAAAGTCACATAATAGGAAAAATCTGCCAACTACAAGACCAAGATACCTAGGCACACTGTGCAATCTTCAACCCTGAAGATTCATAAACATATTACAAAAGCCTCTAATCAGAAGTGATCAAGCTTCACAATCAGAAGTGATCCATACATCCCAATAAAACTCAAGCAGCAACTAGATACAAGTTTCTACCACTATAGATTCCCCATCTCTCTGTGATCACGAAAAGATTTAAAGTACATAAACAGGGACTAAGAACCCTTCTACTGTTACAAAAACACAGCAAAAATCCTGAAGTCCACAGAACTGTGGAAATTTTCCTCTCCTTACACATGTAATTTGGAGCCTAGCAGAAGCTATGGACTCTCCTGTTAGACATGATCTGACCTCCGAAACAGTCACATCCATCTTTTGTCCTGCCACTGCCCAGCAAATCAGGTATGGAAGACTTAGTAGACAGAGCCTGTCTGCACAGATTTATGCACAGTTGCAGCTGAATTTAAAAGACCTTCTCTAACTCAGAGTACCGAGTCCCACGGCACTGGCACCTAAGTGGCTCTGCACAGCACCAACCCAGAACTGCCTACGTCCACATCAGGAACGTGACATAATGCAAACAAATAACTGGAGTAAAATAACAGAGCCAGTGCTGAAGCCACGTCTCAGATATCCTGAATTTCTGTATTTTGGTGTTCCGCTTCAGACCAGCTATAGTCTGGTTGTGCACAAGCTGAATGTCCATTAGAGGCTGGAGTACGTTAGGTGTGCAAATGGAACACACCTTTTGGGTTTCATCCAGCAGAAATACAGTCAATACTCTCAGAGACTGCACCACAATGGGGACAAGAGGGATCTTTGCTTCAACAGCACACTCCTGATCCAATCTCTGACATTCAGATAGTCACATCAACATAGTCCAAAACAGGATCCTCGGCAGTCCTGAACTATCTCCACGTGGAGACGCTCCAGCGTTTCTGCACTCTGCTCCCCAGCCATACCAATCTGCTGATGAGCAGGATCCAAATACTTAGATAGCCTACGTAGTGCAGCTGATTTTGATTACGCTGAGCTCATTCGCTGTTCCCCTGCACGACACAGAAACAGCTATACTATTTCTGAACACGAATTTGTCCTAAAAAGTCACACCGCCACGTTTAAGCAGGGCTGAAGCCATTTTTTAATAAGCTTTGTTATATCTGAATAAACTATGGGAAGCCAGCACCAGTGTCTCTAGGCATCCCTAGCACAGACAATTCTACTTAGTGAGCCTACAGAATTCAGGAAAGTCCTTATATGTTTCTAACTGTATGTCTATCTTTAACTGGTCAGCTGTCCCACTGCCCTCAAACTTAAAAAAAAAAAAAAGAAGAATCTTTGCAAGTTCAAAACTCATTTGAATATACACTTCATATGAAGACACGTTAGCATGAACACAGTATCTGAGATAGAACTCATTAGTCTGTAAAACAACCAAAATAGCACAGGACGGGATATACCTACGTGATTTGGAAACATAGCAGAAGATGTCATAATCCTTGGTGCCGCTTTGCTTCTGCCCTGTCTGTAAGTGTGAAACTTGGAACTGTTTTAGTTTTTCTTCAAGATTTCTAAAACTCAGCATGGACTGCATAGGAAGCCAAGTGAAAAACTTCTCCTTAAAATTCTCTGGAACAGCACATTCCTTAAGAAAGAGTGAAAAGATCTGTCGGTTGTTTTCTTCTATATCAGTCCGCAGAAAATATGATGGATATCCTTGCACAAAGTACTTCGACCCCATTTTTTTAGTTTTAACATTAACTCTCCACCAAGGGTCAACTAATGGAAAACGTCCAACTACTTCATACTCCTTTTTGGAACTCTCTTCTTGTATAATAACTGAATCATTAAAAAGAAAAATAAAGCCATTGTTAATTTAATTGATAGTCATAAAGATTAAAAGTTTGGTTTGATTAAAAGAGTTTTGTTTCTTCAAAGCTTATTTTTGTCTTTTGTATAAGTTGTAGTAGTAAAAGTAAAGCGGGGGTTTTCACAAACTTCCTGATGTCGGTCATTCCAGTGGTATTTAAAAACAAAAGCAAAACTAACCCCAGAAATAACCACTAAAACTGCTTCTCTAAATGTTAGAACTACAAAATTAAACTTGTGTATGAATATTTACACATTGGCATATGGTTTAATATTACACCATTTATGCCAAGTCAAGTTTGCAATTCAATTTTAAACAGTTTTGCCACAAAGTATTGCATCACTCTTCAGACACATGTGGATACCAAATGCTTCCTGCAACTGAAACCACCAAAATCATAAGCAATCAATATAATAAACTATTTAACATTCTGTATGACCTGGTTTGCCTCCTCTTTCCATCCTC